TTGCTTCTACACTGTAATGAAATGTTTGGCGCAAATTTGATGTGTCAGCAGAGTTGCAGCAACCCCCCCATGCCAGACTGTATGCAGAGGAAACGCCATGATACGTTAGGCACGTTACTCTGTGTGAACATCGGCTTACTTCCTGAAAAGCAGATGTTTTGGAGATGTTGTGAAACATTTCCAAAACATCTGCTTTTCCATCACCGAACATGTAAATCTGTACATGTGAGCTTAGTCAGCAGCACGTTGAATTTCTCATTCATTTACTAAGTCAAGTTACAGTTTTCAAATGTCGACTGACACTGGCACTTCACACCGCACTGCCAAATGAACAGTACCAGTTTTATCCTGGTCTATTTTGTTCTGTTTGTCTCTGCCCTCCAGTGCTTTGTGCCTTAGTTGAATTGAAAAAAGCAGGCTGCTGATTGAACCCCAGGGCAGTGTAAGAGAATGCATGTGGAAATGTGACCTGACAGCTGGCCCTGTCTTGGCAGTGCAATGTCGGGTGGGCTGTGGGTATGTGTGTTAGCTGGTTACCGGTGTGCACTCAGCAGTATGTCACGGACTCTGGCAGGGTTGAGGGTTTGACTCCCACTGGACCTGTAAAGCACAGGCAGCGGAGCAGAGCTCATTTAGTAAAACTTGCTTCAGTAACAATATCGGATGATTTCCATTATCACAGATACACTGCAAAGTAAGCAGTGCCAAATTTAACATGTTGACCTGTCTCTATGTCTGCGGCCTTCAGCTGCTGTAGACTAAACTACCCACTGTCAGGAGACAAGTTGTTTTAAATAGGTGTGCTACCACCGCTATGCCTAAAGCTTCTCAGTTGCAGTTTGACACACATGCTCACATGTTGTCATTCTATACTCATGAGGACCCTTATTGACATAATGCCTGGCCCTGAACCCTAACCTCAGTCTAAATCTGAACTTAACCTTAAAACCAGATGTTAATCTTCACTCAGTCCTCTGAAGCAGTGAAGACTAACTACAAAAATGTCCTCACTACAGTAGGTTAAAATGGAAATTGGTGTCTAAACACTTTAAAGGGGTTGTTGGCAGTTTCCCGAGCAGCTTTAGAGTTGGAAAAATGTTGTATGTTTTCATTTTAGTTCTGTGTAAATGAACTTTAGAATATAACTGTTGTCTTTACACTGTGGTTAATACTAGTTGTAAGGAGCCGAGCTTCTTCTGGTTTGATTGTCACTACTGTTCACTAGAATTCTTTGCAGATTAATTAATCCTGTCCTGAAAATTATTTGTTAATATTAGAAGAGCAGTCGTGTTCAACCACAACCCCAGCTGACCAAACATGTTTGACGCTTACACTGGTGTTGATGATAGTTACCAACCAAGTTCCTAGAACAGTGACAGTCTGGAGTCACTGTCACTGTTAGGTGTTGGTCAGAAAAAGGCCACAGGAGTGAGATGCAAGCCGTTACTCAGCAGCTAAAACAGGACTTACAGTAGTGTCTACAGTTGTCTGAACTCTGGATGACTGCCAGATATACAGTATTATCTTGGCCTTTGCACAGCTGGAATTGGCTGAAGCATGTCACTGTACAACGTAAGGGTATCTTTCCCCTTAGTTTGTACAGAGATGCACTATATTGCCAAAGTATTCACTCACCCATCCAAATCATTGAATTCAGGTGTTCCAACCACTTCCATGGTTACACGTGTATATAATCAAGCACCTAGTCATGCAGACCACTCCTACAAACATTTGTGAAAGAATGGGTCGCTCTCAGGACCTTAGTGAACTCCAACATGGTCAGCGTGGTACCGTGATAGGATGCCACCTGTGCAATAAGTCCAGTCGTGAAATTTCCTCACTACTAAATATTCCACAGTCAACTGTTAGTGGTATTATAACAAAGTGGAAGCGATTGGGAACGACAGCAACTCAGCCATGAAGTGGTAGGCCACGTAAAATCACAGAGCGGGGTCAACGGATGCTGAGACGCATAGCGCACAGAGGTCACCAACTTTCTGCAGAGTCAATAGCTACAGACCTCCAAACTTCATGTGGCCTTCAGATTAGCTCAAGAACAGTGTGTAGAGAGCTTCCTGTATGTAAAGCGTCAGATGCAGTGGTGTAAAGCAGTGGTCCCCAACCCCCGGGCCGCGGACCGGTACCGGTCCGTGGATCAATTGGTACCGGGTCGCACAAGAAATCATTAATTATTTCCGTTTTATTTATTATCTGAGTCTGAACAATCTTTTATTTTGAAAAATGACCGCATTCTCTCG